ACTTTGACAGCCGCTTTCCTTGCCTTTTGTCAAGGCATGGGGCTTAGCAAAATGGGAACCCTTTAATCCCTGATTTTTCTAATTTAGGGTTAGAAAAGGGGGGTCATTTTATACATTGGTCACCTTATAAACAGAAAAATATGGTATTCAAATACAGCTGTGTCATCTTCTGGTTGCTGCACAATGGTGGAGGGTAGGGTTTCTCTTAACTGGGTCTTATTTTGGGGGGTAGGGCTTATATTACGAGCATTTTGAAAAATCATACTACGGCTTATTTTCAGGTCAGGTCTTATTTTCAGGGAAACAGGGTAACAACAACAAAATTGTAGTTGTGTGCTGTCAATTCACCTCTAACATATGGTGACCCTATGAATGAGATCTCCAAAATGAGCCGTCCTCAACAGCCCTGCTCATATATATTCAAGCCTGTGGTTCCTTTAGAGAGTCAAACCATCTTGTATTTGGCCTTCCTGTTTGCCTGTTGCCATCAACCTTCCCCAGCATTATAATCTTTTCCAGAGAAATCCTGCCTTCTCATGATGTGCCCAAAGTAGGGCGGCCTCAGTTTCAACATTTTTGCCTCCAAAGACAGTTGAGGCTTGATTTGATTCAGGACCCACTTATTTCTTGCAGTCTGGGGTATCTGCAAAGTTCTCCTCCAGCACCGCATTTTGAATGAATCCATTCTTTTTCCGTCAGCTTTCTCTACTGTCCAGCTTTCATATCCGTAACATGGTGATCAGGAATACAAGAGTGTGCATTATCTTGGTCTCCAATGACACGTCCTTATTATTTTTTCTAGTTCCTTCATTGAGCACTGGTTCAGTCTTCAAACCAAATGGGCATGCAGCCAAGAAATCAGAAGCAATAGAATAGTCATCTGTTAAATATCTGCTTCATATTTTTGTCAAAGGTGGTATAGTAGAGTTGGTCCAGTAAAAAAAGAAAAGTGATGTCTGCCCAACTCAAAGGAGGCAAGGAGATTCGGCAAGGGAAGGCTGTTGGAAGAGGCAATGCATTTGGAGAGGATTTTAGAGGTAGTTGCTACTATATTTGTTACTCCTAGCTGTTGTCTGAAGCATGTGGCTCAGCACAGTATTAACCAAATAAACCAATAATTTGGGGACTCGAGAAGGGAGGTGGTGGCAGAGGCAAAATAGGAAACTTGTGAAATAAGAGCAGTCATAACAGTGTCCTGCCCTACTAACAACTACAAACCATAATAGTGTCATAAAAAGTAACGCTTTTTTATTTAATTAAAACATTTAATTGGCTCCTATATAAACTTCTTTTTTGGTACAACTTTCATTTTAAAGTAGGAATGGAAAACATATGGCTTATAGTGCAGATGTTATGGGTGTGCAGGGTTCGGGCAAAAATTTTTACGTTTGCATTCCTTTCCAATTTCAATATATGTATTATGTTTGTGTATGCTGATCACTCCTAATATCTCCAAAAGTCCTTTCTTGGTCAAAGCAGTCTTGGGCAGAGGACGGACTTCAATTAAGTGGCAAATTGTGTGAAGAGTTTTAAATTTCTGATAAATTCCCTTTTCATTACATAGTAGAAGTATAGAAATCCAGAAAGGAGAATAGATATAAGTTCCCCAGATAACCCACCCCTTTCCCAATAACTGGCACAAGTCTCAACAACTCACTCTGGAACATTTGTAGGAGAAAGAACAAAAAAAGTTCCATGACTCACAATCACAAACAGATCAACAGCAAAGTCTTTACTGCACACTTAGTCACTAAATTAAGAGATAAACAGCAAACAAGCAACTGCCTCCAAACCAGGAAAGGAAAGGAAAGAGCACTCAGCAGAGAGGCAGGGCTCTTTTTGAATTCAGAAGTCTGGGGGAAAAAACAACAATTGGTTAGTGTTGGATATAGACAATCACTCCAGCTCAGAAAAGGCCCTCTCAGCCAAACAAGCTACAGACAGCACAGGAGGCTGCAAATACAACTCGCAACAAAGAGCACCTTCCAGCGGCTTCCGAAGGTGCCATTTGTTATGTGAGCAATTAAATCTGAGAGCTAGAGAGGGGCCTTGGATTGCATGTGGCCCTGAAATGGCATTTTGTCCGTTCTTGCCCTAACTAGTAGCTTCCGAGGCTTCCTATTATTATTAAGCCGACCTCGCCATAGTTTACTGGCTTAGACCCCTGTACATCCCAGCTTTCATCTGTAGCAGAGATTCACACATTTGTAGGAAAGGAAAAAAGAATAGATTTGTCATTTAATGTTCAAAATTCAGAATGCAGAAATAGGGATGGGTGGAGGGTTGTTGCTTTGTCTAGTTCTTCCTCAGTTTTATTTATTTATTTATTTATATGCTTTTTTGCTGTACCATTTTTCATGAGCTGCACCAGTACCTGTTTCTACAACTTTTTTTCAAGTTTCTAGCACAAACTATTTTATTGCAAAACTCATATTTTTTAAAAAAGGAAAATAATTATAGTTGTAGACTTTCTAGCTCTCCTGACTTCCAATTTGCAGTTCTTTGTACAATATCTTAAAATATTTTGAGGATTCACAGTTTTATGAATAATTCATCACAGCACAATAATCACGGGACTTGGGCAGGACCTGCACACTGCATGATACTGCCAGAGCAGGAATGATGCTAGGTTTCCAAAACAGTGCATGAGTAAAAAAAGAGCCTTGTTTCAATCCATTCCAGACTATTATTACACAAAGTAAGCTACATGCCTTGCTCAAACAGATCAGCTGCTGTGTAAGAAGGATATATGAACACATGAACCCTCAATCTGATCGGCAAAAAAGCAAACAATGAGTGCAGGAAACCCACAATTTATGGCCAGTGGTTTTTGAAATGACTAACATCTGGACAAAGACATTGCATGAGCAGGTCTTCTCCTTGAGCCATTTGTCCATTTAAATTATAAACCTCACTCCTATTTCCTGTGAAGAGAAAAAATATAGATAATACACTAGTATCTGGAAAAAATGTTTTGTCCATGGGCAATTAGCAACTGTGGAGGAAATTTAATTAGGGAAATTGCACAGTGGGATTAACCTGTAACCCCAACCCTCTTTGCCCTTCTTTCTCACATAATGTCTAGGGGCACTCTGACAAAGACTGAAGAGGAGTTCTAATCTCCCATAACTGAACCAATGTGAGAGTACTGAGTAGCGGTACTTTAGCTTTGGACTGCAGTTCATGTATATAGGTGGATACATATTGTAACGGTCCTGCAAAAGAATGAAATGCATTTTTCCCTGCTGAACATTGAACAAGAGTATGTCCACGAGAAAGAAAGGCAGAATATTTGCCCTGATGTGCTAGTTTTGCTTAAGTAATCAACAATTTTATTTGTGTATAGTCTTTTCACAATTGCAAGCAGTATGTAGACAATTACTTAATTGTATACTATAAGTCAGAGGGACGTGGTGGCTCTGCGGGTTAAACTGCAGAAGCTTCTGTACTGCAAGGTCAGAAGACCAGCAGTCGTAAGATCAAATCCACGTGATGGAGTGAGCTCCTGTCGCTTGTCCCAGCTCCTGCCAACCTAGCAGTTCAAAAGCATGCAAATGCAAGTAGATAAATAGGTACCACCTCAGTGGGAAGGTAACAGCGTTCCATGTCTAGTCATGCTGGCCATGTGACCACAGAAAATGTCTACAGACAAAACGCTGGCTCTATGGCTTGGAAATGGGGATGAGCGCAACCCCCTAGAGTCGGACACAACTGGCCTAAATGTCAACAGGAACCTTTACCTTTACCTTATACTATAACTCACACTGTTAGAATTACACAGATTATCAGTTTAAAAATCACAACCTCCTGGGCATGAAACAGCATGATCATTTTGAAGATTTTTTTCTAGAATATGTTGTTCCAGATAAAAAAAACATGCAAACTTTATGGTGACCAGCCTGACTTGCATGTACAGTAATACAATTATGATCTAAGTTGCATTCTTCTCCTATTCATCCCTAAGATCTGGACTAGACATTTTGCCCTGCATAGGCTATAGAGGGAGCAATGGCTAATAATGTGTACCAGTCCCACATAGGCAGGTACATTCAGAATAATGCCTGTTCCCAAACCTTCCAACCAGGATAGTGGAAGGCATCAAGTTTAACCTATCTCTGGTAAAGACAATCCTCTCCTTCTATTTCAGCCATTGTTATAGACAGAAAGGTAGCACCCTAGGTATGCAGGGGAAGTGCTGCAGCAAAGAAGCTGCTTTAGAAGCAGATATTGCTGCTCTATCATTCTGTGCATATATATGCAATAATCTTTGTCTCAGCTTTTTTTTTTTGGCGACTTCCATCACCAAACTCTTTAAGTAAAGTTCCAAAAACTCAATTTCAAAACGAGAGAGGAAATAAATCCCTTTGAGTACTAATTATGCATTTTCTCATGAGCATTCCTAAGAAAAGAGTGAATATTATCTTTAACCAGAGGTTTAGATCACATTTAATTAGAAGGAGGTTTTAACCTGTGCTGTCACATCTGGAGCTGAAAGTCTGAAAACAGTTTCCCCAGTTGGTTGTGCTGAAACCACATATTAGCTCTAAATGCATTTGTTGAGAAGGTGCATGACCCAGTTCAGCCAATTAAACCCTACATTAGTAATTGCAAGTGTAAAATTTACACTGGCTCTTGGAAGTCATAGGGTTGGATCTTCATAATAGATCCTTTGTCGGAAAATGATCTCAGCGCCTACAAACCTGGTGTCAGTTCATGTGGCAAGTCATTGGAAATTGTAGAATTAGTGTGAATCCTATATCCTAGCGAGAATATCCTAGCCGAAGCAGAGAAATATTTTGTAAACTGCCAAGCAGTACAGCTCACGGCGTACTGAGTTTTGTGCTGACCAGCTATTTAGTGTGCATACACCCCCATAAATTAAGCAACAGATCAATTTGCTTTAATGTTGAAATAGCTTACTTTATTCTGTTGTTTCTCATTCCTGCAGTTTTATTCTGCTTTGTTCTTAGCTGACGATGTTCTTTTTCTTTCCTTGCCAGAGATTCCCCAGTGTGCCGGCTGCAACCAGCACATCCTTGATAAGTTCATCCTGAAAGTCCTCGACCGGCACTGGCACGGCTCTTGCCTCAAGTGTGCAGATTGCCAAATGCAGCTGGCAGACCGCTGCTTCTCCAGAGCTGGGAGTGTCTATTGCAAAGAAGATTTCTTCAAGTAGGTGGTGAAAAAAAAAAAGCTTCCCAGTATGGCCATGTTAATATTACAAAAATTAAAAACAAATGGTGTTAAAAGCTAATGAAGCAATAAATTATTACAGTATCAAAAAGAATAAAACAGACATAATATTAAAAATGGTAGGTAAAAAAAAGGTTCAAAAACATATTACAGCCCCTTTTTAGGAGTTCTCTCTATGGGCTGCTAGAAACTGAAGGGGGAAACAACAGCCAGTAAATAAAGGTCTTTGCCTGCTTGCAGAAGGACAGCAAAGATGGGTCCAGCCAGGCCTCTTCTGGGAAGGAGTTCCAGAGTCAGGGAACAATGACAGAGAAGGCCCTCTCCCATGTCCCCATTAAGTGGGGGCTCCCAGTTAGCCAGAAGGTATTTCCATGCTGGTGTCATCTTCTTGAAATGGAGATGTTGCTAATAGCTCAACATATGGTTTTGTATTGGAAGAACAGAGGCTAAGTAAGGTAGTGTAGTGCAGTGATTCAAAGCGTAAGGTTGAAAACCTCCAGGTCAAAGGTGCTTCAACAACGATATCACCGAGTGCCTCAAGCAAGTCATTATAATGATATTGACCTATTTTAGGATTGTTGTAAATGTACTGATGTGAAATGCCTTGGAAAACAGTGTGTAAAAACTAGGTGGTTTTATAACTGAGTGTCTACGTAGTGTAGTGGATAGCACGACAGACTAGGACTCAGGGTACCAGCGTTCAATTTCCTGTTTGGCACGGAAACTCTTTAAATATCCCACGTACCTTGCAGACATTGTTGAGGCTGCCATAAATCACATGCGACTTGTTTTATTAACTACATGTTATTCTGATTCCATAGTTATGACCACGGGAACAGTTTTGCTAGAACAATATAATTACTCTACATCTATACAACTTCTCCCAACCAACACATCCAGTTAGGTATGGGTATTCCATACTTTCATGCTGTGATATGAAGGAGATAGGAGAAGGATCTGGGAGAACTCTATAGCTAACTTCCTATTCTCCCCTGGGAGGGCTTGCTCCTCCTATACAGGTTCCTCTCCTGTATTGACCTGGAGGTCCCATTGAACTACTTCCATGAAGATATAGGCTGAAATCTAGTAGTAAATCACAACTAGAGTGGGCCCATTGAACCAGTGGGATTTATGGTGGAGCTGACTCATCTATTCTTCAGTGATTCAATAGGCCTAATCTAGTTGTGATTTACTACTGGATTTCAGATATAGGATTGCACTCACAATCTCTTTGTTCTGCCTGGCCTTTTAAAACAGGTAGTTCTTTAAAGTCCATGGTCAGTAAAGCTCAGAGGAAGAGAGAAGAGGTTAGAGAGAGAAGGACAATCAGGGTTGGGCCTATTGTAATTCAAAGCAAATTATTGAAAGACAAAATGTTTAATACATTTAAATTCAAATCACTTAATGTATCAAATTATTGTTATAATCAAGCCCATTTTAATACAGTTTTAAAACTGTAGAGTACAGAAATATTGCCCCTTTCTCCTTCAGTTGATCAGTATGGAAGGGAAATGAAAGGAAATGAAAAGAAAAGAAAGAGGAGGCTTCCCCTCACCTGTGCAGTTATTGATCAGAACACTGGAACGCAGGATCTGTTTTACACTCTCACTGAGCAATTGGACAGAATACTGTTTGTCTCCATAATGACAAAAAAAAAAGTCTGGAGGTCAAGGTTTGTATGTGTGTGTTTAAATAAAAGTTTATAAACCACGTAAGGGTAGATGTCCAGAAAATTTCCAAGGGATTAGCCCTTGAAGCCTCCTCATTTATGTCCACAGTCAAGCAATGCTTGTGATGTGCAAACTCTCCCATGAATAAAGAATCTACTGCTCACCAATAGTTCAAACTGGTGGCAAAATGCTAGTGTAAACACTCCTTCTGCAAAGACCCACAGTGTGGCTTAATTTAAGACACCCTTCAGCATATAACAATCCCTCCAAGCTGTTTTGCATTAGAAATAAATCCATTTTCACTTAATATTTCTTCTAATCAAAATCTGATCTGTTCCTTGCAGCTGCTTTCTTGCTGTGCATGCGTGTGTGGATCCTTAGGCATGTCATGTCTTGGGTAGAATGAGGGCATGGCCTCTCTGGGATCAGCTCCAAGTACCTCAGTGACCCAGTTGACCCAGTTTTTTGTTTTGTTTTGTTAAATAGCAGACTCCCTGTCAGTAGTGCGGAGTGGGTAAAGAGAAGACATAAAATGTGTATGGAATTACTGGCCTGACCTACTTAGCTATTTTAAAGGAGAGGACTAGCTTGGCTGACTATTCTTATCTCAGGACCTCTGTGTCTATCCTTTTACTTATGAACAATTAACTGAAAACAGTGTATTAAGAAAATGTAACTTCTCTAATATACTCCACCTGTAAAATGGATATCTTTTTCTAGACCAAAAAAAAGTTATCCATTTCACAGATGCTTAATTTTTAATAACACACCACATATATGCTTCTGTTATGTTTGTGACTGATGTGTAGACTGACGGTGAGATCATACACCTGTGTTTCCTGCTTTCTGTTTATGGGTCACTGAGCCAGTCTGGATTAGGGTTGATTGACAACCGTGGTCTCATCTCTTCTGTGGGGAACTCCCACTTTCTTACTTTAAAATGTCAATCTCAATATGGTGGCTTTCAAGTAACATTTGTATTTAAGATATTGCACATGTTTTGTGTTGTTTTTGTATTACACCTCATATTTCAAGGGGGAATAACAACAACGAAGGCAACTTTCAGCTATGTAAGAAGGCAATACAAGTGCCTTGGGCGGATTGAAAAGTAAAGCCTAATCATGCCACTCCTTTCTTCTTTGGAAAGGGGTGCTGGTTCTAAAAAGGATTAAGATAGTAAAGAGGCAAATGTTATTTGCTGCTCGAGTGGATTCCACATCCATAGGTTGAACTTGGCTTCCTATTTTCTTTACACATGGAAAATACTTCACAATTCAAATCCTAAATCCTAAATCAGACTTACCCCTCCAGTTGGGCATTGCAAGGCATTGCCTTCTGAGGCAGCCCATCAGTCCTTCTAGCAGTCTTTTTCGTGGTGGCAGTGGCTCTCCAAAGTCCCCAGAGAGGGGCCTTTTCTTGATACCTGCAGTCTTTTAACTGGAGTTAACTAAAGGTAATGAATCTGGGGCCTTATGCCTGCAACATATGTGCTCTGTGACTGACTGCTGTAGCCTCTTCTCTTTCTCCTTTTTTTACATCTCTGTGCTGATTTACACATATATGCATCATTTTAACCCCCTGTGTTTTTCCTAATGATATTTCGTGGGTTTTTGTTGCTGGACAGTATTATTGATGCTATCCCATAGCTGGTTTCCCCCATCTTATGTTAACTTTTAAATTTAAGTTCTTAAATTTTGTTGTACTAAGAAGTTCTGTTTCTTTTGTCCTGCTTTCAAGGATAAAACAGACTTCTCAAGGCTGTTTACAAAATAAAAACAGTTCAGTTTGCATCCCTAGATGCACATACATGCTCGTTATTTATGTATCAGGAATACAGTGAACCAAAATAGCACCATAAAAGACATCCTGTGCACTTGAAACCATAAAATGTGAAATATAGCATGTAGACTAGCATCAAATAAAATTGGGCTGCAACATTTAGATCCTTCAGACCCATTTTAAAAAAGGGATGTAGCTTGGCATAGACCCCACAGAAGAGCATTCTTCTGGTATAGCCACCCATCTAGGAGGCCGGAAAGGCTTCCAAATCAAAAGTTAGCTGCTGCCTCCATTCTCTTGCTGCCATGATCCAGGAACATGTTGCATAACCATAGAGAAGACCACCACGGAGAGGGGATTCCTTGACCTTTCCACTCTACAACCACTTGTGCTGTCAAAGATGCAAGCTGGTTTTTTTTTTACGTTATAAGTTTTCTTGAAAAGTGAGTTGTATTTTCAGCATGTGGTTGAAAAATTAAAATAAACCCTCACCTCATGCCAGCATGTTCTAGCACTGCTTTCACTGTTGTTGTCTGAGGAACCAGAGACTACAGATGCTCATCCAGCTACACTAGAAGAACGACTGGGCCTGGATATTAAAATAAACTGGTGACTCAGTTTGGGATGGGAGTAGAAGTAATTAGTAATACCAGTCAGTCAACCTTAATAAACACTTCTGTAATAGTGTTAACAGCACATTCACCAGCAGTTAAGATGTACAGCAGGGGTGGGCAATTAATTTCTATAGGGGGGGCCAAATAAAAAATCTGAACTGTGTTTGGGGGTCGAACCAACTTTGCTTAAAAATAAAATGAAACAGTGATGTTATGATTGTCCCCACCGTGGGGGGGGGGGGGAAAAAAACCCTGACACTGAGCTAACTCACCTGCGGCTTTCCTCTCCAACTGTCTTCTATCCCACGCACGCGATGTGATGCGTCATCACGTCTCCTGTGCAAGGATCGCTTCCGGCCTCTTGAGCCAGAGGCTCTGCAGCCTGCAGCTCAAGAGTAACAGTCAAAACTTGTGAGATCCCAGCGTCAGATATCGCGTGTTTTGCTTACTTCCATGTTGGGTGACTGGAGCCGGAGCTCCGGCTCACTCAACGGCAACAGGCAAGCCAGACAGGAGTGGCGACGGGTGGGCCGGACTGGAGCAACAACCAGGGGGCTGGACAAAAGCGCCTCATGGGCCATATGTGGCCCACGGGCTACACTTTGCCCAGGTCTGATGTACAGCTTCGTAGCTCTGAAAGCAGCACATTGTTCCTCCTCTGTGAAATTGAACGAAGAATAGATTCTCTCTGTGGCTTTCTTGCCTCCTGACTTGATGGCCCCAAGGCAATGCCAGCTTTGCAGATCCCTTGGATTCTAATTGTTGTTGTTTAGTCGTTAAGTTGTGTCCGACTCTTCGTGATCCCATGGACCAGAGCACGCCAGGCCCTCCTGTCTTCTACTGCCTCCCGGAGCTGGGCCAAATTCATGTTGGTCGCTTTGATGACATTATCCAACTATCTCGTACTCTATCGTCC